TAAATAAGTTATCACAAAATATTGATTCAGAGCTAGGAGATTCGTTTCAGTTATTTACTTTCCCAAATTAGTCTGACAGAGACTGATCAGTGTTAGAAAGCTTTTAACCCTACTTTGAGCCACTACAACTCAATGGCTGTATAGTCCCACCAAATTGTACTGTACAGTACCTATGTTTTGTTTGTAACAAGATTTTTTTAAATATCAACATGCCTTATTTTTAATGTCAAATAGTCATTTTGATTTATATCACCCTTTGGAAACTAAAAGTCACAAGATGAGTGTTTTCCTGATAACAAGGTAATTTTTTAAATACCCTTCCCTTTTTTACATTAAATTAACTAATATGAATCCTAACCAGATCAAGTCTAACAGCATCCCAGGTAATAGAGAAGGACTACTTCAGATTTCAGAAATAAATATGTCTCTATATATTTATCTGGCTGCTGGTTGACTAGTATTTTATAAAACCTATTGGACATGAAAAGTGCTGTTTGGGCATTTAAGCACATGTTCCAAAATATGTTCACTTCAAATCACATATTTTTTAAACTGTGTATGTGTAAGTGAATAAAATAATTAGGACATAATTTTAATAAATAATTTACATCTTAACTCATTTCAATATAGATTCTGGAAATGTCATTTTTAACATGAATTCCATGCAGCAATGTAACAACTATTTATAATTTCAGTGGTGACTTACATAACTTACATAAAGCAAGATGTTGCCTACTTATACAGACATTACCCCATAAAACGATAGTACCTCACTATGTCAGGCGCCTATAAGTAATTGTATGACATTCTGAAATGAATTTAAAACTGCCCCTTTTGATTAAGTGCAGTAATATCAGATTTCATGTTAAAGTTCATATGTCAGCCAAATTAATTATATTAAATTGAGAAGAATGAGTTAATGAGGAAATTATTTATTGTAATTATTTAACCCTTTTAATTAGCTTGTCCTGCTTGGGACATTCACTGAGCATTCTAAAAAGCTGCTAGACATTTATTGTAAAGCTTGATTGAAATGTTATGAGTGTATTACTGGGTGTGTACTTTATTACTTATCAGCTAGAACAAAAGGATACCTTTTAGGACATGATCAAAATGCTAAATTAAATATCTGGTGCAAATCAGTTGTATAAAAATAACCAAATGAAAACAGTAAATTGTAAAAGGGTCCCACTGACAACTCCAAAGGCTGTAATTTCGAATGTAGACCTTTTTCCTGACACGTCTTGGCCCCAGGCCATGTTTTCGTTCCTCCCTGAGAGCACACAAATGATTCAGCTATCTCCAGGGAAGGTGAAACCTTAACTCCTCCATGACGCCTTTCCCTCGAATGGCATGTGTATTTTTGTTTGCCCAGGTCTGGAAGGTTGGAATGAGGAAGAAATGTGGGCTGAGGTTTCAGGTTGGCTGGTAATTGTTTAATGTTCATGTTTGAGAAGGGTCGAACTTTCTCAAGGATCTTTCATTTCCTAACACTAAATACCCTTAAGCTCACCAGCATCATGGTAAATCCTGCTTCCATTTAGGAAGCTCAGCCTCCACTGTGGCTGCCTTCAGAGCAGGGTGTCCCAATCTCCCAGTACAGAATTTTACCTCCAGACATCTCGAGAATAAGAAAATATGTTTCAAGATCCCAATTTATCATAGTGTAAACTGTCCAATAAAGTAGCAGGATACAAAATAAATATTCGGAATAAGTTCCATTTTTTAAAATATATTTTTATTGATCTCAGAGAGGAAGGGAAAGGCAGAGAGAGATAGAAACATAAATGATGAGAGAGAATCATTGATCTGCTGCCTCCTGCACACCCCCCTACTGGGGATCGAGCTCGCAATCCAGGCACGTGCCCTTAACTGGAATTGAACCCACAACTCTTCGGTCCTCAGGCCAATGCTCTATCCACTGAGCAAACCGGCTAGGGCAAGTTCCATTTTTATACAACAACTAGAGGCCCAGCGGCAAGACCCAGACCCACCGCACTGGGCAGGAGGTGGGACCCAGACTGACTCCCGCTGCGCCAGGCAGGAGGCAGGACCAGACTGACTCACGATGCGCTGGGCAGGACGCCCAGACCCAGACTCACTCCCGCTGTGCCCCAAGACTCAGAGTCAAGTCCCCGCCCACCCATGTGCACCTCGCCATGCACGCAGCCCCGCCCACTCACGCATGCCTCGCTGCACACACAGCCTCCTGGTGACCAGTCTTTGGTCGTTATGATGCGCCGTCATGGTCAAAGGGTTTTTATAATAGAGATAATGCATTATCAAAAAGAGAAATTAAGAAAATAATCCTATTTACAATTGCATTAAAAAAATACCTTGGAACAAATTTAACCAAGAATTTTCTATTGTAGGAAAATTATAAGACATTGAATAAATTGAAGAAGATACAAATAAATGAAAGCATATCCATACTATGGATAGAAAGAATTAGCATCGTAAAAAGACTACCCAAAGCAACCTATCGTTTCCATAAAATTCCTATCAAAATACCAATGGTCTTATTCACAGGGTTAGAACAAATAATCCAAAAATTTATATAGAATCACCAAAGACCCCAAATAGTCACAGCAATCATTAAAAAGAACAAAGTTAGAGGAATCACACTACCTGACATCAAACTGTACTACAATCAAAACAGCATGGCACTGGCATAAAATCAGAAATATAGATAAGTGGAGCAAAATAGAGAGCCCAGAAATAACCCATGACTTTATGGTCAATATTTAACAAAGGAGGCAAGAACATACAATGGGTAAAAACAGTGTATTCAATGAATGATGTTGGGAAAATTGGACAGATACATGCAAAAAATGAAACTAAACCACCTTCTTACACCATACCCAAGAATAAATTTCAATGGATAAATACTTAAATGTTAGACTTGAAGCCATAAAAATCCTAGATGAAAACATAGGTAGTAAAATCTTGGACATTTATCATACCAATATTTTTTCTGATATATCCTGGGCAAAGGAAACAAAAGAAACTATAAGCAAATCAAACTAAAAAGTTTTTGGAAACCATCAACTGTAAAGGAAACCATCAACAAAATTAAAAAGACAACTACTGAATGGAAGAAGATAATTGCCAATGATACATCCAATAAGGGGTTAATATCCAAAATTTATAAAAAATTCATACAACTCAACACCAAAAAAAAGAACAATCCAATTAAAAAATGGGCAGAGGACCTGAATAGACACTTCTTCAAAGTGGACATACAGATGGCCAATAGACATATGGAAAGATGCTCAATGTCAGTAATCATCTGAGAAATGAAAATTAAGACCACAATGAGATTATCACCTCACACCTGTCAGAATGGCTTTCATCAATACCTCAACAACAAATAAGTAGCAGTCTATAAACAGTATGGAGCATCCTCAAACAATTACAAATAGAACTACCTTATGACCCAGCAATTCCACTTCTGGGTATATATCCCAAAAAACCCAAAACACTAAATCAAAAAGATATATGCATCCCTATGCTTATGGCAGAATTACTTAAAATATCTAAGACATGGAAGCAACCCAAATGCCCATCCATAGATGAGTGGATAAAGAAGTTGTAGTACATATATACAATGGAATATTACTTGGCCATAAAAAATGAAATATTACCATTTGCAACAACATGGATAAACCTAGAAGGTATTATGCTAAGTGAAGTAACTCAGAGAAAGAAAAATACCATATGATTCCACTTATACTATGTGGAATCCAAAGAACAAAATCAATGAACAAACAAAAGATAAACAGCCCCAGAGATGCAAAGAACAAACTGATGATTGCCAGTTGGAAGAGGGGTTGGAGGCCTGGGTGAAAAAGGTGAAAGGAGTAAGGAGTTTAATTGGTAGTTACAAGATAATGGGGATATAAAGTACAGCATAGGGAATATAGTCAATTGTTGTTAGATAGGACAAAGGCGAAAACTTGGGTAGTTCCAAATATTATTTCTTGCTAAATGTTAAAATACAGCACAGCATTTTGCAGATGCAGCAGTAGCAGGATGAGCTGACAGGAGCTCAACTGGAGGAATGTGGCCAACTGCAGAGAAGAAATCGACCTGTACATGAGCAATAGCTAAGCCTCCCTTCAAGGAGGCAGGGCTGTGGATAGGAATCCCGTCTCCTTTATTTGCTGCAAGTAAATAAAACTACCTTGCAACCACCAGGTCTCATTTTTTAATAGAAAACTCAAGTGGCAAATCCCTTGAATTCAGTAGCAATAATATTGTAGTAACTATGTAGGATGCCTGGTGGGTCCTTGAAATATCCAGGGGCTCACTTCATAAATTGTATAGTTGCCTAACTGTGCTGTATACCTGAAACTAATCCTATATAATAAAAGGCTAATATGCAAATCGACCAAACCGCGGAATGACCAGTCGCTATGATGTGCACTGACCACCAGGGGGCAGACGCTGAACACAGGAGCTGCCCCCCGGTGGTCAGTGCACTCCCATAGGGGAAGCGGGGCTCAGCCAGAAGCCAGGCTCAGGGCAAGCAGACATCCCCCAAGGGGTCTCTGACTGTGAAGGCACAGCCCAGGCTGAGACCCCCTCCCTCTCCCCCAGTGCACAAATGTGGTGCACTGGGCCTCTAGTATAAAATAATATTGACTGTCATCTGTAACTAAACCTTTTTTAAAAAATCATAGGAGACTATAAAGATTATAGGAGACAACTGTGTCAGCAAGCAACAACAAAAACCAGGAAGAAGGAAACCAAAAATCATATTTGAATTATGATTGCTCTTGGCAATAAGGGGGGTTAAAGAGCAACAGTTTCAGAGTACAGTCTGAAGAAAGGGCTGATAACAAAGACAGCAAGGTGAGGAGCAGGTTGGAAGAGCAGACGCTGTTCCGGGATCCCAGGATTGTTTGACCTGCCAAGAAGCAAAACCAAAGACACAGCTCCTCCCTTCCCAGGAAACGAAACCTAACCCAGTGCAGACTCGGGCAGCAGAAGATAAGAGAGGCTCACACTTCCTGCAGCCAGCTCAGCAGCTCTCCTAGCCCTGCCGGAGCGTCACGATGGAGCTCAGACTAACCCCGGCCAGAAATCTGGACAAGTTCATCGAAGACCACCTCCGGCCAGACACGCCTTTCCGCAGGAGGGTCAAAAAAGCCATCGATGCCATCTGCAGTTTCCTCAAAGAGAGGTGTTTCCAAGGTGCCCCCCACCGAGTCCGGGTGTCCAAAGTGGTGAAGGGCGGCTCCTCGGGCAAAGGCACGACCCTCAGAGGCCGCTCTGACGCTGACCTCGTGGTCTTCCTCAGCGAGCTCAGAAGTTTTCAGGAGCAGTTGGAGCGCCGAGGGGAGTTCATCTGGGAAATCATACGACAGCTGGAAGCCTTTCAGAGAGAGACAGGAGTGGAGTTTGAGATCCATGAGCCTCGATGGGAGAAACCCCGCGCGCTCAGCTTTGTGTTCTGGTCCCCCTGGCTGGACGAGAAGGTGGAGTTTGATGTACTGCCTGCCTTTGACATCCTGGGTCAGTGGGGTCCTGTGCCGCACATCCACGAGGGCTACAGACCTAATCCCCAAATCTACGTCCGGCTCATCAACGAGTGCACGCGCCTGGGGAAGGAGGGCGAGTTCTCCCCCTGCTTCACGGAGCTGCAAAAAGCCTTCCTGCGGCAGCGGCCGACCAAGCTCAAGAGCCTCATCCGCCTGGTCAAGCACTGGTACCAGCTGTGCAAGCAGCGCCTGGGGAAGCCGCTGCCGCCGCAGTACGCCCTGGAGCTGCTGACCGTCCACGCCTGGGAGCGTGGGTGCAAGGAGACCTACTTCAGCACCGCTGAGGGGTTTCGGACGGTCTTGGAACTAGTCGTGCACTACCGGCAGCTTTGCGTCTACTGGACTAAGTATTACGACTTTGAAAATCCTGTCATTTGTCAATATCTGATGACACAGCTCGAGCAACCCATGCCCGTGATTCTGGACCCGGCTGATCCTACCGGAAACGTTGCAGGTGGAGGCGGCTGGCAGCGGCTGGCACAAGAGGCTGCAGCCTGGATGACGTACCCATGCTTGAAGAATTGGGATGGGTCTCCAGTGGACTCCTGGGACACAGGGCTCCCAAGAGAGAGAGAAGATAGCTCGACCTCCACAACAGATGATGATGATGAACAGGACTCTGAATACCATACCTACAAACGATACCAGGAGGACGAGAGCTGGACATGTGCCATCCTCTGAAGCCAGTGTGTCTTAGGGGACAGGGCTCCAGAGTCATGTGGGCCCGCCTCCTCCTTCCCAGGGGGCCACTTTTGATTCAGAGAGGATAGAGGACTGCACCAAGCCAGCAGTGAGTAGGGCAGACCTAGGACCAAAATCCAGGTCTCCTGACCCCACCCTTCCCACTATTCTGTGCTTCTCTTCTTTCATCAGCCCGGCCTCACCCCACCTATTCTCAGACGACAAGAGAAATATAGACAAAAAGAGTGGAATTCCAGCCTTGATTTTCTTCTGTGTACCTGGCGGGAGGGTTTCGGTCCCATTTATTGTCACTTGCAATAAAAATAATCGTCAAAAAAAAAAAAAAGAGAATATATTGTCAAAAGACCACCTTGAGAAAAACAATACATGTTTCAGAAAGAGGAGAAAGAACAGACCCAAGTTCGATTCTGGTCAAGGCCACATGCCTGGGTTGCAGGCTGGATCCGCAGTGTGGGGCGTGCAGGAGTCAGCCGATCAATGCTTTTCTCTCATCATTGATGTTTCTGTCTCTCTGTTCCCCTCCCTTCCTCTCTGAAATCAATAAAAATATATTTTTTAAAAAAGAAAAGAAAGAGGACAGAGAAGAGAGCTTTTCTCTCCCTGAATAAACCGTGAATAAGAGGGAGTCTGCAGGAAGAAGAGGCCAGGAATCAGAGAACCTAGATTCTTCTGGCCTCTCCACTGTTACTCTCTGAGCGTCCCTGTGCAAAGTGGAGATAAGAGCATTTATCCAGCCTTTCTTTCAGGTTTATATTGAAGCCCAAGGGAAAGCATTTTTTAAAAAGGAAAGGTAATACTCAAATGTAATATGTTTACAATGTTTATAGAAGTCATAACTATTCTGAAAAACTATCAAGCCAAAATTTTTATCTATCATGTTGTTTTTAAAGAAGAAATTGACACAAAATAATTACTTTTACAATCCATATATATGATTCTATTGTGCAACATACACAGAAGGGAAGACTTCATAAGCAGTGTTAACATTGTACACTACACGCTATAATTAAAAGCAACCATTTCTGCTAACGTGAACATTTTATTCAAGATCTTTTTAGATTTCTCGTTGTTTTACTTGCCACCCTTCCCCTAACCCAGTCAAATATCAGAGGGAAGGCAGGGGAGGGTGGAGGGGGGAAGAGATCAACCAATGAACTCATATGCATATATGCATAACCCAAGGACACAGACAGTGGGTGGTGAAGGCTTGGGGGGGGGGGGAGAGCGCAATGGGAGAAGAAAAGGGACACATGTGACTTTCAACAATAAAGATTAATTTTTAAAAATGAGAACAGAAAAAAAGAACACCCTCTTTTACAATCATCTAAATTCTCTTCTGATAGAATCTGGCAGTTTGAGCTTTGCCAATAGCCATCTACACCTAGAGGACAGAGATGAACTTTATTTCAAATCCACTCTTTCCTTCAGTTTTATCTCCCTGCTCCCTTGCAGCTCTCTCCTGGACCTCAAAGAGGCTGTGTGGTTTGCCTTTCAGAAAATCAGTGGCTGGTAGATGAAAAGCAGCTCTTGCTTATCTCCCACCGGCTCAAGGTGATTCTGCTCAGGAGCATCTGTGTGAGATCCACTGCCATGTTTCCTTGCAGAGCGGAGAAGTAAAGTGATTACATACTCAAAACCCACCATAAGGAGAGAGTGATGCCCATTTTAAATGGATAGAATCACATCACATGCAAATATATTCATAAGAATAAGTAGAGTGATGGAGTCCTGGTGTTTAGAGTATAAATGTAGGGTGTTTCTGGTTGTGACCCTGATTTTTTTTTTTTGGAAAGGCTATGTCTAAACTTGTTATGGTGTACAAAACTTTATAGGTAGTTTATCACATTCTCTAATAGGTACCTGGGAAGTTATTTGAACTTAGTCGGCTTTAAGGATTATGACTAATAAAGGGCATTAGTAAAGGAGTGTGGGTGGGTGTCTATTTCTGCATAGGTAATAAGAAGCATTGTTTTCCTACTGCAGATACAGCCAGAGTTGCTGATACCCGAGTTGTGTATCCGTCTCTTTTCAAAGGGCGATGTCACAGTCTAACTGTGCCCTATCACAGGCATTGCTTAGCCCTCAATGTTCTTTATATTCCAAGGCCATTTCTTGGACCAGTGCTGGAAAAGAGACCTAAAAACACATACACTCCACAATGCCATTGATATGGGGTTTTTTGGATTGGAACAGGCGGTGTTCCCCTGGGCAGGATGGCTTCCCGGATTCTTTGTTTGTTGGCGTCAAAGAATGAAACCACGGATGGAAGATGGCATAGCAAAGGTGGAAATTTATTGGAGAACAAGCACAGACTCCCACCTGGGGAGGGGGGAACGAGTGCCACCGAGTTCCTTTTCCCCAGGTTTATAAAGGCTGCAGATCTTTGTGCCTTGATAGCCCCTCTGATTGACCACTAATTCCCTTTTGATTTGGTCACTATCGCAACTCCTGAGCTCAAAGATCAAACCTCACATGGGACATATGAGGCTCTTCTTCTCTATTTTGTAAAAACAGTAGGTCCTCGGGTTACGTGGAGATTCCTACGGAGCAATGTAATGTGATTTTCCACCTACATAAGCACCTATGTCACTCACATGGAGCACATACACAGCAGTAATGAAGTGAAACAGTAAAAAAATTAAAAGAAAGATAACAATTCCTGACCTTTACTTGTGGTAAATAAATAATAGAAAACATAAAGCACATATGTACATACATCGAAATGACGAAACTTCTTTTTTTTAATAAATAAATGGGAGATGGCAAGGTAACCACAAAACGACGTACGTTGAGTCTGATGTAACCCAAGGACTGTCTGTAAGGACTGTCCCAGTTCCCTTATTTTATGGAGATGTAACTGCTGCCTCTCCCAACTTCCTTGTCTTATGGAACTGTAACCTCTGCTGGCTTCCTGCTTCCTTGTCTTATGGAAATATAACTGCTGCCTCTTCCAATTCCCTTGTCTTATTGAAATGCAACCTTTGTAGCTCTGTGTTTCTTCCATGGACCCCCTTAATTGCAAAAATTCCCTAAACCTGCCTTTTTCACCTCTAAAAATTCCCATTTCACCATCAAGTCAAAAGTATGCTTTTCTGGGGCCTCATGGTCAATGGCTTTGCTTCAATGATAACACTTTGTTCTACCAGTGATGTAGCTAGTGGGTTATAGTGGGTTATGTCAAGTTTTGGTAGTTTTGGGGGGGGGGGGTTGTGTTTTGTTTTTTTTTGAGGGTGGCAGGGGTAGTATTATTAAAGCAGAGACCTAAAAATCCCTGCCAATCACAGCTCCTCTCTACCAAGCGCCCAAATGAAATTTACACACCAGGGAAAAGAGCAAGTGCAAAACAAGTACCAATTTATGGCTGGGCCAGTGATCACTTCCCCCAGCTCAGAGCTGTTGTAAACCTGAATTAAAACCCATAGCTTAGACTCCGGCTTGTGGCAGAGTCTAAATCTTGGAATCCATTTTCTAGTTTATCATATGGTATGGGAGAAAAAACAAAAGATCAGTTGGCTTAGCATATAAAGAGATAAGAGCAACCACCACAACAAAAAATGTCCAGGTAACTAAAAGGGCCTGATTTCAGCTTACCAACTGTACCACTTGTAATGGAAGAGAAGAGCTAACCTCTGAAAACACAGGAATCTTGCTGTATTAGCCAGGATTCTCCAGAGAAACAGAATATATGTATATATACTGCTATGTATATAGTATTAATGTTATGCCCAGATTTCAAGATCCCCAATAGACCACTAGGGAGCCAGCCAAGTTCCATGCAAAAGCAGAGAGTCTTTTATTATTATTACAGACCCGGGTCTGGCTCCCAGCCTCTACCGACACAACGGCGAGACGAGAGTGCCCGCCCCGTGGGAAAAAAAGGGTTTTAATAGGGGGGTGGAGTGAGGGGAGGAGAGATGACTGTGAGCCCTGCCGATTGGCCAGGTGCAGGTCAGGTCTTGTTACACAGGATGTGGTCATATCTATGGCGCGCACGTCCCTTGATTGTCATTGGTTAGTTTAAAGAAGTCCTGGGTGTGGCTAGCAGAGTAGCAGAGGCTTGGGCTTCCGGGAAGAAGCCTTTGCCGAGCACATGGCCAAGTAAGATGGAGGGCGTAGCCCTCGCCCTTTCATTATAAGGAACTGGCTCACACAATTCCAGAGGCTGGCAAGTCCCAAGATCTGCGGGGTGAGATGGCAAGCTGGAGTCCCAATAGAACTGTAGAACTGATGGGGTAATTCTTGTCAGAAGGCCAGCAAGTTCGAGATGCAAAAAGAGCTGATATCTCTGTTCAAGTTCAAAGGCAGGAAAAGGCCGATGTCCCATTTTTGAAAGTCATCAAGAAGGAAGAATTCTCTCTGACTTGGTGGATGGTCAACCTTTTTGTTCTAATCAGGCCTTTAGCAGATTGGATCTGGCCTACCCACACTGGGGAGGGCAATCTGCTTCAGTCAGACAACCAATTCAAACGTTAATTCATCCAGAAACACCCTCACAGTCACACCCAGGATAGTGTTGGACCAATTATCTGGGCCCTCTGTGGCCCAGTCAAGTTGACACATAAAATTAACCATCACCTGCCCAATAGTAAGTGTGGCCCAAAAACAATGTTCCAGAACCAGACCAATCAGATGAGCATGTCCTCCGTTTGTGAGGTGGAACAAGGAAGGAGAACAGGCAAAATGTGAGAGGGATTCCTCGTCCCTAAATCTACGACTCTTTCCCCTCTCTAGACTTCTTTGAAGGCAGGATGAGTAGCATTTTCACTTCACTAGTCCTCAGAGAAACTAGCACACTGTCAGCACAGAAGTGGGCTTCAATGAGGGTTTATTGAACAAATGAAGAGAATCACTATTCACAACATAAAAAGCGTCAATCAATAGTGATTAAGTCCCAGGTATGTGGCTGCACCCTGGGATATGCAGTGGATGATAATTTTAAAGAGACAGTGCATGGTCCTGGTATAAGGGTTAGCACAAACAAAGGAACTTTAAAAGGGAACAGTGACATAACTGTGCAGCACAGGCTGCAGATGTTCTGAACTTCCCCATGACCACTAACGTGACCACTTCTCAAGGTGGGGGCCTTCGCCTGGATTTAAACACGTTGCCACTTGTGGGATATGTGATGTTGGACAGACTGTTCTGCCTCCTTCAGCCTCATCTTCCTTATCTGTTAAATGGGATTGATCCATGCCTGCTTTACAGATGGGGTCTGAGGTGTGAAGATGAAAATGATTACAAAACATATAGGACTTAGCACAGAGCACACATAAAAATAAAGGTAGCTGTTTTTATACTTTTTATTGTTAACTGACC